TATATATATATATATATTATAATAATAATAATAATAATAAACCATTAGATGGTAAATGGGGTCCTAAATCACGTAGATAAACTGGTGTATGCTTAACTGTCTGTTTTTTTAATAATGATTCCCAGTAAGTTTCTAAGGATTTAAACTTGCAATAATGAACTACGTCACCTTCTAAGTAACATCATCACTCATCTTATATAAAGATACCTTTTAGAGCAAGTACTACTTTACGTTGTAGCTGCCAAGCAGTTTTAATTCGTTCTCCATTGTCAATGAATTCAGTAAATCATCTACTGCTACTGAAAATAACTGTCAGACAAGTTAGAAAATACACCGTTTTATGTCTTCCACTGCTTCCTTGCGGCGTTGAATCTGGCTTTCAAGTATGTGAATGAGTGTCGCTCTAGCCTTCAAGAAAATGTAGAACCAATATTGTCAATAGAAGTCTTTATAATTTCGATTATCTGAAAGTTAAAAGTTATATGTCTATTACCTGGTGAGGTCGCAACGAATTGAGGAGATGGTGCAAGTTCTTGAAAATAAGAGAAATCTCTTCAACTCTTCGTGCATATTGTGATGGTCTCTCTACTAGAACATCAGCAAGCTCCAAGATATGCAGCTGGAGCTCTCTATTAAGTGCCCTCAGCTCTTTCTTAAAATCTGCATAAAAAACATCAATATCAAAAATGCTCTCAAGTGCAAACCAATTATATTCCAAAGTAAATTCCCTGATTTATGGTACATCAATAATAAGCATTCACAAAAACTACATAAACTATATGCTAAGAATAATGCCCAAATCTTCAGTAGAGCAGTCACATACACACAAAATTCATAAAGATTTCAACTTTCTGAATCCTAGGGCATTCTTTTTCCTAGCTCAAATTACAAAATTTACTAGAAATATGTAAACTATGCCCAACTACCAGAAATAATGCCCAAACCTTCACTATAGCAGTGACATACAAAATTCATAAAGATTTCAACTTCATTAATCCTATCACATCTCTTTTCCCATCACATCTCAAATTTAGTACAATTTCAAGAAAGAAGAACAATTTAGGGGAGTAGGGTTACCAATAGTAGGGCCTTTTGGGTACAATTGGCGAACTCCCTGATCCTCCAAGCTCGGAAGCACTACATCCGTCTGCAAACAAACAAAATTTGGTAAAAAAAAGGAGAGAAATTGAAAATTTTGAAAACCCTAAAAGCGAAATTTGGGAAAATTTCGTATAACCAATAGATTACAGTGTAAGTGGCGCCAAAGAGAGGGTAAGCGCCGTCGACTGGGGGCGGAGGATCGGGGGCAGAGCTCGGATCTTGAAGATAGTCCTTGTAAAGGCGGTAATAAGGCGGCGGTGGCGGGTACGATGATGACGTCGTCGCCGTCGCCATTTTCTTCGTCGATGTCTGCAGTACAAAATTTTGAAGGGCAAAGAGGGGGCTAAAGTTAATTAATGAAGATTTTGGGCCTGGACGGGTGCACCTCAAATTAGGTGTGCATTCGGTGGGGATACAGTTCGGATATGACAATTATCATATTTATATCTGCTTTTTGAACACCTCAGAGTCTGAGGTTGCATTCGGTTCAGATAAGGTTCGGATATGACACTTATCGTATTCACATCTGTTTTTTGAAAACGGATACGGACACAGTTCGTATATTTATCGGTAAGAAAAAAAGCATTATCATATACACACTAAATGGAAGCGGATACAGTCCGGATATTAGAGAATCAGGTACGGATATTAATCGAATATTTGGGAAATCATATCATATCATACTTTCTTTAAAAGTACGAGTTCGAGAAAATCTTTCCGTAGTCAATATTACCCTTGATTATTTTAAATATTTCATTTAAATTTTAATCTATTATAATCATAATGATATCACATCCTAATCCTATGTGAACTATTTACATGTCAATAATTTAAAGATTAATATGGTATATATGAAGTATAGAAAAAAAACCAAAAAGTTTTAAAAATTACACAAAACACCCTTAAAAGTTTAAAATCATACAAAACATCTAGACGTTTCAATACTTAAAACAACAAACATGAAACCCTCAATATTTTAAAAACTATAAAAACACCATCAAAAGTTCAAATAATGAAAAAGCATTCTAAAATTTTGAAATTTTAAAACTTGCGAACAACAAAGATGAATTCAAGTAATTACCATCAAGCACTAAAAAATTAAAATATGTAAAAAAATAACCTCAAAGTTATAAAAATTACAAAAAATCCTTCGAAAACTAAAAACATAGAAAATCCTAAAATTTAAACTTATAACCAATACATATTAAATCTCAAAATTATCAACAGACCGCTAAAAATTAAATTTTGCAACAAACAATCCAAAGTTTCAATAATTGCAAAAATAACCTCAAAATTCAGAGTTGCAAGAAATATTTTGACATTTGAAAACTTACCATCAGCACATGAAATATGAAAACTACAATCACCCAAATTAAAATTAATTTTTTTTAAATACTCTTAAAGTATCAAAATTTGTAAAACACACCCTTGAAGATTCAAAATCACGAAAGAACAACTAAAATTTCAAAACTTAGCCAAAAAAGAAGTTGTTTTGATATTCTTGCATTGAGATATGTAAATTTAAATTTTAATTTAAGGTTTTACTATCCTTTTTCCACTAAACAGCTGCTTATATACGCTTACTTCGGCATCTAAAAGTAATCTAATTTTATCGAAAAAGATAAAGGTGGAGAAAGATTGATAATGTCTCTTAAAAAAAACAGAAGGAACGAAAGGTACTATTTTCTGAATATTTTATAGAATAAGTTTTGTGAGTAGATTAGGAACCTTTACATTGGATTTTAATAAACTTTTTTTAATACTTTTATGTGCTTATGTGGATGCTTTCATTATATAAAAGTGTACTAGAGTTAGCATTAATTATTTGTTTATGATTTATTTTTAAAGTCTATCAAGGATTAGGAACAAACTCCATATTACCTTTTGTGTCATTTTAGCCCACTTTTAACCAATCATCTTGTCTGATTAGGTTTAATTATTTATTTTCCTTTTAGAACGCTATTTTTTAAAGTGTTTTTCACTTTTGCAATGTTATACTTTCTCAAGCCAAACTTGGTTTCATGTCGGTCTCAATGACATAATAATTTAAATTGATTTCGGATTACATTTATTCTCTGTTAATTCAATTGTCAATATGAAAATTAAAATTGGGTGTGGTTCATTTAAACAAACATTGAAGCAAATTAAATAATCATAATGCTAAAGTTTAGAGATATAAGTAAGCAAAAACCATCAAAGTGGAACTGAGGAACAAGTTTTTAGTAAGGATGTAAACCACATATACTTAATCATGGCATTTAACCACGTGCATTGCACGTGCATAAAACCTAGTGGATATCAATAATATATGACAAAAGATATATATGATTTTAATAATTCACAAATAGAATATAACTAAAAATTAATATACTTGCAAGCAAAAAAAATCCAGAACATTGCTACATAGATTCAAATAGATATTAGCAGGAAAGTTGGATAAAAAATAAAAAATATTGAACACTATAACTAAAATGTGATAACCAACAATTACTATAGTTATCATATAACACTCTAGATTGTATACATAAATGGTTAGTTAGGTAACCAAACTGGGTAAAGTCCAAAGAGCCCATTAGGATTGTAATGAGGAAAAGAAATCAACAACATGACACAAAAAGCAAAGAAAAGAAGAAAATATAATGATATGATGGCCGACTCAATGGGGGGTTTGGCAGTGGGTTCTTCGTTAGAAGCTTGAACTAATGGATTAGACGACATGATTCTAATACCTATTCAATTAAATTTATAAACTTAACCAAACAAAAAATATAATGATACAAATTACAATCATGAAAAAAAACAGGCAACTGAAAACAACTAGGGCTAATAAATTAGGGATTTTTGTTAAACAAATTAGGGCTTTTGACTTTAGTTAACAAAGGGCTAGAAATTAGGGTTTTTATCAAACAAAAAAATTAGAGTATCAAAAAATTAGGGTTTTGAGTTCACCTTAGCGATATACAAAATTGAGGAGAAGAATTTTTGTGAGGATCGAGACCCTCGGTTGATCCTCAAGCTGCTATTTATGGCCATGGTTACAACTGCCAGGTCTTGAGAACAGGAAATAAGAGAAGAATTAAGACAGTAAAGGGAGAGGAGTTGAAAGAGAGTAGAAAGAGAGAAGAATAGAACTCAGAATTTAGGAGAAGAAGAGAACCCAATTTCATTCATAATCATTTCAATGTACATTCTCTCCTTTATATCTTCGCTCAAAAACACAGAAACAGGAAACGTGCACAAAACGTGCACGAGCTTATTTAACAGACACACAGTATTAACTATTTGTAACCAATCGTTAGTTGTTTAACACAAAAAACGTGCACAAAACGTACATTCTCTCCTTTATATCTTCGCTCAAAAACACAGAAACAGGAAACGTGCACAAAACGTGCACGAGCTTATTTAACAGACACACAGTATTAACTGTTTGTAACCAACTGTTAGCTGTTTGTAACCAACTTAACAGACTCCTAAGCATTTATTGCATAACAGTCCTCCATGTCTTTTTCATGTCCAGTCCATCCTCTTCCAGCTGCAGCTCACCCATCACCTAGCAATTCCGTTCCTGGCAATTCCCTTCCCCTTAATTTTGACCTTGCCTCAAGGTCAAATGTAGGAAATCTTTTAATGAGATCCCAATAAGGTTCCCAAGTAGAATCTAAAGTAGACCTTTGCTTCCATTTAACTAGAACCTGAGACACCAATCTTTTCCCATGGGCTATCTGCCTCTTGTCTAAGATCTGCTCTGGTTCATCAACTAGTTATGTAACATAGCTAGGAGGATTATTTTGCAGTACAACACTAGAACCTAACTTCTTCTTCAGTTGGGATACATAAAAAACAGGATGAATCTGTGCATGGTTAGGAAGAGCCAATCTATAAGCAACTTCACCAATTTTTTCCAAAATCTGGTATGTACCATAATATTTAGGAGAAAGCTTATGTGTTTTGTAAGATGAAACACTCAATTGCCTGTAAGCCTGAAGCTTAAGATATACCCAATCTCCCACATCAAAACTCCTATAGCTTCTATGCTTGTCAGCAAACCTCTTTGATTGTTCAGCAGCCTTTGTCAAACTGTCCTTGAGGAGTTGTAGAGATATATCCCTGGAAAGAAGAGCTGTATCTATAGATTCCACCTTACAACTTCTGGGGACATAGGAGAGCAAGGATGGAGGAGGTCGACCATACACTGTCTCAAATGGTGTAGTATTAGTAGATACCTTCCATGTAGTGTTATACCAAAACTCAGCAAGTGGCAACCATTTGCACCACTCCTTTGGTTTGTGGCAACAAAAACACCTCAAATAGCATTCCAGATTTTTATTGGTTATTTCACTTTGGCCATCAGTTTGAGGGTGATATGCAGAACTAAATTTAAGCTGGCTCCCCTGCAATCTAAAAAGTTCCCTTCAAAACAAACTGGTAAATAGGGGATCTCTATCACTGACTATGGATTTAGGCATTCCATGGAGTTTAAAGACCCCCTCAAAGAATACCTGAGCCACAGACTGTGCAGTGTAAGGATGTGTTAAGGAAAAGAAATGAACATACTTTGATAATCTGTCCACCACCACCAATATCACTGATTGTGTACCACATTTTGGCAGTTTTGTGATGAAATCCATTGACAAATCCTCCCAAATTTTCTCTGGAATGGGTAGTGGTTGTAATAGTCCTGGGGATGCAACATTCTCTCCCTTGGCTCTTTGACATGTATCACAAGCTTGGGCATGTAACTGCACATCTCTTTTCATCCCCTTCCAATAAAAAAACTCTTCTCAACCTATGCAAAGTCCTGTGAATTCCAGAATGCCCTGCAGTAGGACTGTCATGATGTTCTTTCAATAAAGAGATCTTCAATCTTTTAGCATTAGGGCTGATTAAAATTTTGCCTTTATAGTAGTGAATACCCTCCTTCCTGGTATAATCCTCAGTGTTCAATTGTCCTTGCTGTAATTTCTCATCCAATTCCCTGAAAAATCATCCTCAGAACACATATCTCTAATACCCTTCAACCAATATCTACTGACAGTGGATATGGCTAAAATTTCTGCACTGTCTTCATAAATTCTGGATAACCCATCTGCAGCTTTGTTCAATCTTCCTGGTTTGTACTCTATAGTGTAGTCATAGCCATGTAGTTTTGCAAGCCACTTGTTTTGGATTCCTGTATGAATCCTTTGCTCTAAAATATATTTAAGACTTTGGTGATCAGTCCTAATCACAAAGCTTCTTCCAAGCAAATATTGTTACCACCTTTTAGTAGAAATGATTATAGCCAGCAACTCTTTCTCATAAGTTGATATTGTAGCATTTTTCCCTTTCAGTGCAAAACTAAAATAGG